AGCTCCAAAAGTTGGGTTGTTATTAATAGGGGGAATATATTATTGTTTGTCAGGGATTAGTGCTGATGGAAGTTGACTTCTGGTTGCATGCATGCACCCCCCTTACTTGATTTGACCGATTTATTTAATTATTATAAATGAAAAATATCTACGGCAAATTCAAGATAAATCCCTAATGCCTTAATCAATTTCCTTGTCAGTCCCCACCTCTTTTTTACTTCCTGTGCACTCTCTATATCTAATATCTCTTTCCAAATCACTCCTCATATATATACTACTCTTATTATTATAAAAAAGATTTATCGATCTCAATAAGAAAGATTGAGGGTGCTAATGATTAATGATATTCCAAGTGATATTCGATGGTTGATTGAAACAAAAGTTCGATTGTCTTGAGAGTTTCCAAATTCATACAGTATGAGTAAAAATATTTTTGCAAAGAAACGAAGAGCAAAAAGATTAGGTGGATGCTTCAAATGCGCTCGATAGACTTGCAGCACACAATGTAAATATGTGGGGTTCGTGTCCAAAAATCGAGAAGATAAAATAGCATTTATAAAGGATAGATTGACTGATTGAGTAAGGAATCTATGGATCAAACGATTCAACAGATTCTTGAGACACATCCTAAATCGTGCATTCAAGTTTTGAAAAGTTGCACACGATTTGATTTGAATTTCATTCTTAAATAACTGGATAAAGTTTTATTTTAAATGTCAAAGATGAATTGATTTTGTTACCAAAAAGTGGATACGTTTTTTAATGTATATTCCGTTCAAATTTTAATTTTGTTTTAAAATAAAAATTGCACGTGGTTTTATCCAATTTTCACACATTTTTTTAAAGAAAAAATTAGTTAAAAAATTGGAAGAATTTGTTAAGAATTATATAACTATTTATTTCCTAAATTGGTATCTTTGCACGATTTTTGAATTAATTTTTATTTGGATTTGTACATAAATAATTGACACATTTTTTACATAAGAATCTCTAAATTTGTTACCAAAAAAATAGGATTCAGATTTTGGTAAAAAAATAAAAAATAATACAAAAAAAGTGGAATTCAGATTTTGGCATAAGAATCTCTATATTTGTTTAAAAAAAAAAGAATTAATTTTGTTACTAAAGATCTAAATGTATTTTTTCAAAATTTCTACTAATAGTAAGTCAACTCATTTATTTTTTGGTCAAAGTTACTAAAAATGATTTTATCAACAATTTTACCAACTTAAATTATAGATATATTTAAAAGTTAATAAATTTTTTTATATAATATATCATATTAATCATGTTTGATGATTCACTGTTCTTCTGTAAGGCTGGTCCTGATCAAGCTAGAATTCTGTTGAATCTGTTGGAAAAATACAGGCTTTTTACTGGCCAGCAAATAAACCTTCACAAATCTGCCATTTTCTTCAGCAGGAACACACCTCAACCTCTGAAAGCAAGCATCTGCAGCTCCTTAAATGGCATTGTTTCACACCGGTCAACCAGATATCTAGGTCTGCCACTGGGTATTGGAAGATCCAAGAAGGAAACCTTTGAGTACATTCTCACCTCTATCAGAAATAAACTTCAAAATTGGAAATCAAAGTTTCTGTCACCTGCTGGTAAAGAAACTCTTCTCAAATCTGTCATTCAGGCACTCCCTATTTTTACTATGTCTTGCTATAAACTCCTCATCTCTATTTGCAATGACATTTCAAAACTGTGTGCTGATTTTTGGTGGCAAAATGAGGAGAACAATGGGAAATGCATTCATTGGAAGAGTTGGAATCTATTGGCAATACCTAAACTGAATGGTGGTCTTGGTTTTCTTGACACTAAATTGTTCAATGAAGCTCTTATATGCAAACAATTGTGGAGGTTGGCCAACAAACCTGATTTGCTGGTTGCTAAGGTACTCAAGGATAGATATTATCCTCGTAGTTCCATCCTTGAAGCAGTTAAGTCTCAAAGGGGCCCTTGGCTCTGGAATTCTTGGCTTGATGTAATGCCTGTGTTTGCCAAGGGCTTAAGAATTGAAATCAGAAATGGAGCCCTTACAAGGATTTGTGACCTGAACTTGATTCCTAATTATCCTCAGGTTAAACCTCAGTTGATGGAGCTGGCTAGAGGGCACCTAATCTGGGTAAAAGATCTTCTAAATGCTGATGGACAAGGCTGGAATGAGTGGCTAATAAGGCAAGTCTTCAATGACCTTGACAGTGAAGCCATTCTGAGCATAAATTCAATCAACAAAGACAGGAATGACAGGATATACTGGAGTCTGGAAGCAAAAGGTCATTTCTCTGTGGCAAGCACTTATTCTTACCTTTCAACTCTGAAAATGCAAAAACTTGACAGACCAGAATCCAGCAACACAAATGCTAAGAGCAAGGCTGTCCTTTATAGAGGATGGAGTCTGAAAGTTCAGGGCAAGATACAACATTTTCTTTGGAAATGCTTGTCTGGAACTCTACCAGTTGCTACTCACCTTGTGAAGAAAGGCCTTGAGATTGATATCATCTGTTCTATTTGTGGAGAAGGACCATAATCAGTAGAACACATCCTTTATACCTGTCCAAGAGCATGCAGAATGTGGGAAAAGGCTCCAGTGCATTGGGCAGGCCTCAACAGCTTTACCAATTCTTTTAGAGCTTGGTGGCAAGGAGTCTGCTCCCTTAATCATAATGAGGTCTCTGAAGCAAGGATTCAGTTGTCCACCTACCTCCTTTGGTGACTCTGGAAATCCAGAAACCTCTAGATTTTTGACAAAACTCTGCTCCCAGTGCACATTCTCAACAAATCAGCTCAAAGGGATTAGTTGGAATATACTCAAGCAGCCTGATGTTTTCTGCAAGTTTCCAAGCTTGTGCTGTGCTGTGGCTTTAATTTTATTTCTGTGGATGTTGGTTAGTATAGTTCTGTTTTTCTAGTTTGGGAATATTGAGTCTAGTTAGGATGCAGTGGGTAGACTCTATATTTCATTTTGTATTTTCTTGTTGTTGTTTGAGGTTCTAGGCCACTTCTAGTGTGCTTCTCATGTTGTCCTTCTATTGTTTGAGTAGGTTTTCGTTGTACTGAACATTATTTTCATTTGCGGTTATTAATAGTACCCCTATCGTTCTTGGAAAAAAAAAATCATGTTTGATGAGTTTCGATTTGATATTTATGTTATACATACAAAATAAATAAATAATTTTATTTATCTTTATCATTAAAACTAAATTACATATTAAATTAATTCCAGCAAATAAAATAATTTAAACTAACTTAACCACAAAATAGTTATTTTATATAAAATTAAAAAATTATAAAATAAGATAGTAAGTATCTAAGTAGCAGTATCATTTTAAATATAAATAATAATATATTTTTAAGAAAAATATTAAAAAACTAAATTAATTTTTACTGTTATTATTGTTTAATTTTAAATATATTTTTTTTTAACAAACACTAGTACACTGGGTTATTGTACTAGACTTACTAGTCAGTAGTCATTAGAAAGGCAAAAATATACAGGCGGACTTTTCTAAACCCAACACCTCTTTCTCTGTCTATCTCCAAAACCTTAGACGGCAAGCGACAGCTCTCGCTGCTGCATCTCAGCTGTAGCTTCATTTATTTAGTGTCCGAAAGCAAGGTAAAGCTTATGGCGTAAATGCTGTTTTCTCTCGATTATGGACTGAATTATCATCGGGTGCGAACTTTTTGCACTAGGGTTTTGGGCGTGTTCGTCAGATCTGTTTTTTACTGAGCTGTTACGATTTTTGACTTGTTGTGTTTGTTTGAAGGAATCTTACTTAGCCTCGATCTGAAAGCATGTTCTAAATATTTCGATTTGTTGTGTTTGTTTTCATGAATTTGTAGCAAATGGCACCTTCGGTTTTTCATTGAGTTTGATGGAAATTGTGTGTTATTCTAATGTTGAAATTGGTTTTAGGAACATTTATCTTTCAATTTCTTTATCGTGTTTGTGAGGATGGCATTAAAATTGTAATGTAGATTTTCTGTATGCTTGTGTTGAATCATTTCGAAATTATCTGTCACCTGAAATAAGTGAAGAACATATTATTTCGCTGTTGATTAAGAGTTCAAAAGTCTGAGGATTGGGATTTTGTGCAAAGGAAAAGGTTTGGTTGAAAGATTCGGATCGTGGGTTTCTTTAGAAGTCCATTAATTTGTCAATGTGGAAGCTTTTGTCAGTAAGGGCCAGTGACAAGTCCCTTCTTAATGCCTATTTTATTAAATTTACATCCTTGATTTAACTGTGAATGAACATTGTTTAGATTGAGATTCTGTTTGGTTGTGTTCATTTTACCATGTGCTTAGTGTGTCAGTGTATTGTGAAATCCAGCATGGAATGAATCAGTTGCTTTTGCACATTTGAATAATGTCATTTCGCCGTAGCATGAAAGTTAGTGGATCTGGAAAGATATGGAAAAAATAACCTGAACATTTCATATACTGATTGGAATAATGTAAGAAGAGATGGTTTATTTGCTGGTGTTTTTTCAATTTGATGACAGTATATGTAAGATTCCGGGCTTTTTTAGTACTTTTAAAAACATGGGAAAGTAATAGTTAAATTGTTATAGTATTTAACTTCCATTAAAGTTCCATTATGAGATTGTTTACATGAAAATGTTGAAGGGTGAAGTGGCTTCATTGAACTTGATGAGGGGAACTTAATATTGCAACGTTGACTCACCATCACCTGAATTTTATCATCGGGTAATTATGCGTTGTGTGGCTTGTTTGATGAAAGGAAAATTGCTGTGTCATGCATGTCATAGACTGACTTGTGCAACCACTTTTTTCCGGTTGGATTCCTTTATCATTTTCCTGTTATTCGATGTGTAGAATATACTTCGGTAGTTCATGGCAGCAAGACTACAGCAATTGCAAGGCAAGGCTTGCGAAGCCACAAAATATGTGGCCAAGCATGGAACTGCCTACTACAAGCAGTTGATGGAGCAGAATAAGCAATATGTTAGAGAGCCACCCACTGTGGAAACATGCAATGAATTAGCCAAGAAGCTGTTTTACACTCGTCTCGCGAGGTTACATCTTTTGATTCTTTGTTGTGTTTAATTTGGAGTCCCCACGTGTTGTTTTCTTTTATTGCAAATTTAAAAGCCATGAATGATATCTTTGTAATTTGGGAATGCCAGGTGTTTACTATGTTTAGACTTACTTCAGTATCTTGTAGTTCAAAACTTTTTTTGGTAAACTCATTACTTTACTTGTGGTGACCACTATCGTTCTTATCATGATATCTTAGCTACGCAGACTTGGTTATTGATGTAGTCAGTTTTGGACACGTGAGCTAGTTATGAACTGGTAAATAATAAATTGCTGATAAACATTTGTGTGGTTGGAAAAGGTTTGGTCCAACTTTCTGAGGGTTCTTTTGCTATTCCAAATATTTTGAATAGTTTAGTCCTTATAAGCTTCCAAGATTTTGAAAGATTTGTGACTATGGGCCGCCACTTTTTAATATGAGATTTCTGGCTTGACTCGCGGACCTTTGGCAATTTATACATTGATAATGTAATTGTGTGGCAGACCGTAATTTTGTCTGGCTAAATGATACCTATTGAGGTAGACGATTCATCTATTTTAATGATATTCGATGCATTCAGTGACTATTTCTCATTGGAACTACAGCCAATCAGCATAATCTATATGATCTCATCTTTGTGTGGATGCTAAATCTTCTGATGCATACTAAATCTATATGATTTCTGCATCTGTTTGTCATTAGTTTGCTCGACTCTGATTGCAGTATCCCGAGCCGTACAGAGACTTTCTGGAAGGAAATTGATTACATGAAAAATATGTGGAAGCACAGGCACGAGCTCAAGGTCGAAGATGCTGGCATTGCTGCTTTATTCGGGCTCGAGTGCTTTGCATGGTTTTGTGCTGGTGAGATTATTGGGAGGGGCTTTACGTTTACCGGTTACTATCCCTGAAAATCAACTGGGTGATGATAATAATTGGTGGGCTATCGAATCACAAGGGCATGATATGGGGCAAGATTTGCTAGTCAGCATCCTTAGGTGCAAGATTTTGTTTTTAATTCGGAAGTTTTTTTCAAAGCTGAGAAATCAGTACAGTATTAAACTTGACGCCTCAATAATTACTTGATTAGTGTGATTGATATTTAAATTTCCTCTTTCAGAGTGGCCTTTATATTTTTATTTTTCTTACCTTCATAAGTTTTTGTCTTATACTGCAACGAATGGCTGTACGGTAAAAGTTGTGGAGTTGATATCTTGATTGCCGATAGACTTGTCCCGGCTTATATTACCTGTGAAAATTTGATAATAAACGAGCTTGTTTGAGTAGCCTTAGCTTTGTTAGTAGGTTCACTGTGCTTGCTTTGCTTCTGAAAATTTTTCATGGCATTAGATAATTTGATAATTTTTTGGCTCTCTTGGATTATCAATATTTTTTTTTTCCCTTCCACTGAATGTTCCCAGCGGACAAAGTAACTCTTGGGGCCTGAGAATTGGAATATTGTTGTGCAAAGAGGATAGGATAATGTGTGCTTAAAAATCCTCTCGTTCGAGGAAAAAGTATCTTCTTTGATGATATTTTATGCCTGAAATATACCAGTTGCTACAGGATAATGATTTTCTATGGATGAATAATAGAAGTTGCTACATTTGTTTCTCCTATTGTGGAGGTTTTGTGGTCATAAAAAATCAAAGAAGTTGTCAATCAAAATATTTTTAAACATGACCACATAATTTTTTTTATTTCAAAATCTAACTTACATTTAACTCAATCAAAATTCAAATCCCATTTAATATAATTAAATAATATTAATCATCTATTCACATATTCACATAATTTTATAGTGAATCATATAATCAATCATTCATTCACATTGTTTTTTTTTTTCAGCTCTTTCCTACTTTTATATCAATTTTTTTCAAAATTAACTCTAAATATCCAATTAATCTTATTAAAACCAAAATAATTTACATCCATTCACTTCACTCCAAAATATTCTCACATTTTTATCCTTCTTTCGACATTTTAATTTATATTGGTGTTTTCCTTATACAAAATTGTTATAAAGTTATTTAATAAGATAACCTTATCAAAGAAAACCAATAGAAAGAAAAATTGTGACATTACGAGAATAGATGGTTTTTTCTGGCTATTTGAGCAATATTTTATTAACCTTTATCCTTTTTTCATAACTAGGTTAAACTTTAGTATCAACAAAATCAAAATAAAAATTGGGTCTGTGTATTATACGGACCCATTTTTCGTTCAAGCTTTCAAAGTAGCACACGACTGGAATCAGCCCAGCTCGTCTATTTGGCACTGGAAATTTTGAACCCATAACTGGCAGGTCCGGCCCAATTATAATTTAATCTCGACCGTTATTTATTTTATGATTTTTTAAACACTTAAATTATCTGGTCCTGAGCGGGCCGAGCCAGTTCGGGTTCTTCATTTTATAACCTATTGACTCGCCGGGTCGAACACGTTAGGCATGTCGTTGGAGAAAAAGATTTTCATCAATTTTATTTTCAATGTTTTAAGATAGAAAAAAGATATAGAAATTAATTAATAATTATTTATTTATTTATCAGGGCATCCGCAACGCTCATTATTTGTTGCGGTTTTAAACGCCCTCCGTGTTTAACCTGGATGTGGCTCATCCATTAATAGGGGTTTCAATCGTCCGTTCAATAGGTTGAACGCATTCGTTCTGATTTTTATTATTTTTTTAGTCTTAATTTAAGTTATTTTGATCTTGTAGTGTTTTTTTTATTTTTATGCATTTAAAATTTATTCATAATTTAAAAATATTATTTTTTTTATTGAGGATAAAATATTAAAATTTATATGGAGTGAGTGGATAACGGATCTCATATATGTATTTAAATGAATGAATAGGAATGTGGGTGTGTATTTAAATAGAGAGAGATTTAGTGAAAAAATGGTATTTAAATAGAGAGAGATTTAGTGGAAAGTGGAGATGATGTGAATGATAAAGAGAGTGTTAATTTTTTATTGAATGAATAATTTTTGTTCAGGAGTTGGAAAGGCCAAAATCCAAATTATTGAAGCAGACTTTGTTTATCTGCGAGAGACCTGTCATCAACCCATCGCCTCTGCATTTTCTCAGCCGTAGCTTCATTTCTTTGGACCTTTGGTGTCCAAACATAAGGTAAACATATGATGCAAATGCTGTTTTCTCTCGATTTATGGACTGAATTATCATCGTCCACAGACATTTTCACTAGGGTTTTGCTCTTCGTTAGATCTATTTTTCTCTAAGCTGTTTCGAGATTTTTTTTTATTATTTTTTTTTGTGTGGTTTGATGTAGGAATCGTACTTAGCTGCGATCTGCAAATATGTTTTGATGATTTTGATTTTGTGTATTTGTTGGTGTTTGTGTTCGTGAGTTGTGACTTCATACCTGGAAAGGAAAAGGCGTAAGGACCAGTTAGAAGGCAGTCATTGTATTTGATGAATTCGTATCAGATGAAAGTTCTATTTCTAATTTGGTTTTCATGCACAATGCATATTATCAAATGTTGAAATTGGGTTTAGGAACATTTAGTCCTCCAATTTATTTCTTGTAGTTGTAAAGGACGACGTTGAAATTGCAATGCAGATATATCGTTTATTTGTATTGAATCAATTCAAAATTATTCTTCGCCTGAAGTAAGTGAAGCGCATCTTATTTGGGTCTCAAATCTCAATTGAGTTTAAAATTCTGAAAATTGGCATTTTGTGCTAAGAGGGAAGTTTGGTTGAAAGATCATTGGATTCCTTAGGAGTACCTTACTTTATCAATGTAGAAGCTTTTGTCAGTAAGTGACAGCAACAAGTCTTCATCTTTGTTAGGTGAGCTTATATAATACATGTCATCTTTCCTATTTCTTAATCTGACATATAATGGGCATTGTCTAGATTAGGATTCTGTTCGATTGTGTTCGTTTTAACTTGTGTTTAGTGTGTCACTATGTTGTGAATCCAGCATGGAATGAATTGGTTGTTTTGCACTTTTGAATAATATTTATCGTCGTAGGTTATTGAAAATAGTTGTCACTATCAGCCTTGTGCTTTTGGAAACATGAAAAGTAATGCAAACTATTATAATAATTGACTCCTCTTAATGTGCTATTGCGAACTTGTTTTCATGCAAAGTGTATAAGAATGAAAATTGAACAACAACAGCAACAACATAGCCTTTTAGTCCCAAGCAAGTTGGGGTAGGCTAGAGATGAAACCCAAGAGAAATTGAAGTGGCATAAATTAAATCAAGTATTGGAATATTGACTCACCCAGAGCTTAATGCATAACTCGAGAAGGGACACGCTGAACATGAATCCTACTTTTCTTGTTATTCGCAACCATTTCTTTTCCGTTGGATTTCTTATCATTATTATATTTACTGTGTAGAATATATTTCGGTAGCTAATGGCAGCAAGAATACAGCAATTGCAAAGCAAGGCTTGCGAAGCCACAAAATATGTGGCCAAGCATGGAACTGCTTTCTACAGGCAGGTGATGGAGGAGAATAAGCAATATGTTAAAGAACCACCCACTGTGGAAACTTGCAATGAATTAGCCAAGCAGCTGCTTTACACTCGTCTTGCCAGGTTACTTTTTCTAATTCTCTGTTTCCTGTAATCTGGAATTTGTACATGTCATTTTTCTTTTCGGAAATTTTGGAACTCCTGTATGATATCTTTCAAATTTGGGAATGGCAGTTGTTACTATGTTCAGATTTTAGTTTACCATAGTGTAGTTCAGAAATTTAGTTTATACATGATGACTGCCATTCTATCGTGATATAACTATATGTGCATGATTGGACAGAAATTGGATGAACTTTGTGAGGTTATTGTTATTTATCCAAATATTTGGGAAAGTTACAGTTGCCTACCACTGTTGAATGGGTTATTTCTGGCTTGATCTGCGTGTGGCCTTGGAGAATTAATGATATTTATTGATCATGTCAATGTGTGACAGACTATAATGATGTGAAGCTAATTATTTGAGGTAGTTGATTACTCTATTTTTATGATATTCGGTGCACTCATCGTCTATTGCCATCTCATCAGAACTGTTGCCAATCAGCATAATCTTATATCTCTATAAGCTCATCTATATGTGGGCAACAAATCTTCTGACACTTTTTAATACAATACTTAACTTTGTTCCTTTGTGTTATGAATATGTACATCCTTTTATCGGAAATATTTCTGTGCGTGTTTTCATTACTTCCCGTGACTCTCATTGCAGTATTCCAGGCCGTACAGAGAGATTCTGGAAGGAAATCGATTTCGTGAAGAATATGTGGAAGCATAGGTCTGAGCTCAAGGTCGAGGATGCATGCGTTGCTGCTTTATTTGGGCTCGAGTGCTTTGCGTGGTTTTGTGCCGGTGAGATTGTTGGGAGGGGGTTTACTTTTACCGGTTACTACCCCTAAAAAGTAAAAAGTAAAAACCAACTGGGGTGATGGTAATAATTGATGGCCTATCGAGTCACTAGTTTATGATCGAGCAAGATTCCAATCAGCGTCCATCTGTGCAAGATTTTTGTGTTGATTCGAAATTTTTTGAAAACTGAGAAATCAGTAAGAATAGTAAACTTGACGCCACAATAATTACTGTGTGATCGATATTTGAATTTCCCTCTTTCTGACTGGCTTTTATATTTTATATATCTTTTTTACCTTCATAAATTTCTGTCTTTTACTGCAATGAAGGGAAGGGAAAAGTTTCGGAGTTAGTATGTTCACTGAAATTGCTTGCTTCTGAGAATATGTTATAGATTTTTGTCAATTTGTTCTTTTTCTGCTCTATTCGACTATCGATTACTGTTTTCATCGACTAATTTGTGATAATTTTCTTTGGTTGTCCAACAATAATTGCTTGGCTAAATAACTTGTTAAAGTACTCTTTACTCTCTCATGTTTGGTTCCAGACTATACCTATTTAGTGGGTGCATTTTTAGCAGGTTGGTGCTCACAATTAATGCTTTTCCCTAAAATTGCTGCCTGTACAAATTGCATTCAATTGCCTTTGTTCAGCCACTTCATAGTAAATGCAAATGCCTAAAATTTTAGCAGATGATTATTTCGTTCGCTTGTGGTCCTCACAAGAAAAAACTG